TTTTTGGTATAGTAGTTGTGACTTATTCACACTATATACATTTGGCTTCCGCAACAAGGATAACCCGGTGCACTAAGCTCTGGCTATGCGCGGGGTCCCGGGCCACAAGGGTCTATTGTACACAGTCTTACCCTGCATTTCTACGAGAAGTTGTTTCCGCGGCTAAGACGCGTGACCTCCTGGTAATGTAGTAAGTAAGTTTTGGTTAAACTCAATTAAAAGTTGATTTATCTTACTTCCGTCTAGATAATTGGTTCCAATCAAACCATCCCTCTGGAGATATAAGCCTATCAAAATAGCAATTTGAGTATATAATCCGTGAATATTCTCCCCACGCTCTGCCTAAAAGGATACTGCCACTTCCACTGATTTTACAGTCAACAAATGAAAATCCAGTATCTTCATCAGCTGAGTTTCTTTGGTGTGCTGCAATTGCTCCGGATATTCCTATATTGTCTTCGGCTACAGAATAAAGATCACAACCCTGTTACAACAAATAACAAAAGTCGCAATCAAATCTTGAAAATCTCCACCATCAATAAATAGATTAATCGGAGTCTCAAATCAAGAACCTGATATAGTGATCTAGCATTGCCACAGATGAATTCAACAGATCCTTGAATGTAACATTTGTAAAAATAGTGAGAACCAGACTCATCTAAAAGGGTGTCCTGTGATCCCAACATCCTAACTTTGTACAACATTGCTCTCTCTCCTGCTAATCTTAATGCCACTGCTTGCATGTCATTGTATTGAGGCAACGCGACCACAGTGTTCTGAAAAAGAAAAGAAAAAGAAAACGCGATTGTCCTAATCAGAGGCAAAACTAAAGTGTTTTCTATAGATTCAACCGAACATATTGCTTTCTGCTCAAGTTATATACAGATGCCTAAAGAATTTAAAATATGTACTCATAACAAGATCATGCGACTCATTCTGAACCCGTTGACTCTAAATCTTAAACATCAAAGTCTTTTAGTAGTACCTCAATGGTGATACCAGTTGCACAAAAGTAATCTGATTCAACGGCAACTGTGGCTGTATTGTAAGTGCCCAACACATTCCCATTTTTGTCCTTGTCTCTGCATATATCAAAATTTTCACAAAAACAGACAGCTAAATCTTATATAATGGGACCAAGATATTGGACTGAAAGAGTGAAAGTAGGATTCTAAGTAAAAATATGAACTCACCCGTATATCATGGGCTGAGAAAAAAATCAACATGGGAAGAAGAGGCATACGAAAATTGTAACTGTTCATTTTTCTAACTATATTGTACCTTATAACTACACTGTTTGACTTTATTATGGACTTTTGAGTCCTATAACTATCATATCTTTTAGGGTCCGAAAAATCCTGCTTCACTAATTTCTCAAACAACTAATGCTAAAAATAGTGAAGAAAACAACAAATACAATATTTTGGTCGGGGAACATACTTGTATAAACAATTTATTAAAATCTAACCAAAATTGAATATATATCCCACAAATATCACAGTTGAGTTTTACACCTTTATTGCTTATTTGCATAATTTATATGTTGTTAAGCATATGCATAAATAGTTTTAAAAAAAATTCAAGAAATGACAATGGCGGTCCAATTTGTTTTACATAATATTAGTGTATAATTAAGTTTAATTTTTATTAGTAAAGTAGTAGGAAATACCTGTACGTTCCGGGACGTATGAAAATTCTAACCCTTTGAGAATTATGGAGAGGGACCATGTCAACTGCACCTTGAGCTGTAATAGAGTCTCCATTACCATGCTGATCAACTACGATCACTCCCTGAGACTTGCGTGATCTTTCATTTGTCAAATCTAAGGAATTATAATCCACTTTAATATCATCCCACGTAATGTAACGTTGAGCAAAAATTACTCTTGTATTTGCCAAAAATAGGAAGAATATTATCAAACTCCAAATGTCGATGAAGTTTCTTAAGTTCATGCTGAAATTAAGCCAAGATTTGATGGTGGGTATTATGAAAAATATGAAAAACAGAAGACGACGTAAAGAGGCGTGGGCAGGTAAAGAAAAGGTGATTGTAATAAATACCAAGAGCGTGGTATGTTTTATGTTTTTATAGTGTTACAGTTTATTAAGAGTGAAAGTAGTAATTTGCATGTTAATGGAGTGACTGAAGTTTGATATAAGTGAAGGGAAACTTGTAGAGACAAAAGAGAAGCAGAAGGAAAATGAGATATGTGAAGAATTTACTAGTAGAATAAGAACGAGGTGAAATTAAGTAAAAGGAGGACACTTAACGAAGTTGAGAAGTAAAAGGAAACGGTAATTGATAAGAGACAGATGTAAACACTATGTCTCAATCTTAGTCAAGTATCAGCGTTCACATAGGGTTCCGAAAACGGCCGCATGGCAGTCTACCCTATATGGCTAATTCCACTGCTCGAACTCATGATCTATATATCACACAGAGACAACATGCCCGTTGCTTGAAAGATCCCCTTCAATCTTAATAAGCAAAAAAAAAAAAACAGATTTAACCTCAGAATTATAAGGTATTATTACAAATTCACTAGTAGTTCTCAAACTCATTCAAGCATAAGATTCCTACCACTCCGAATTTATTAGTAAACCGATAATGGATTGCCAAAATATTACAGAACTGCAGCTTTAAATCCCCAATAAATTAGCGATTGATGAATGTACTCAAACTTTGTGGAGGAAATTTTAAAATATATAACCAATTAAACAACATTAATTATGATCACACTACCATGCAGCATAAAACAAATTTTATATGATATTCACTATAAGGTATTTGACTAAGTAATAGAAGGGAAAAAAAGAGTATTTTGATTAGAAGCAGAAGTGGTTTTTGAGAAGTCAAAAAATTTAGCTTCTCCTCAAAAATATCTTTTGAAAAAATACTTTTGAGAAAAATATATTTAAAAGTATTTTTTAAAAGTATACCCAACATTAATTGCTGCTCAAAAGAGCTTTTCAAATTAATTAGTCAAATACAATTTTTTTAAAAATTATTTTTGAGAAAAATATTTTGATAAGCTGATTTTAGAAGCTTGGCCAAACAAAGTTATTCGTTTGTGTCCATTAGTGGTTAGAAACCTACTTGAGAACTCCAAATATTAACCTTCACTTTGTCAGGTTTAGCTACTATCAAATGTGTAAGAATTTTTTACAATATTAATGTTTATAAGTTAAATGATCAGTTGAAAAAGAAAAACTATAAATTTCGAGAGTAAAGAATAGTTTGAGGGCTCATTAAAATGGGCTTCATCTTAAGTGGCCGAAATTTCCAGCCCTAACTCAATCAAAGTTGGCAGTGATATGGCAGAATTGATTTATTTGTGAAAAACTAAAAATAATACGGGCTAGCCAGTTTTCGGATGGGTAATTGAAAATAGCCAGTATTTTTAAAGTAGTTGAAACATACCACTATTTTACTGGAACATAGAAAGTTCCCGCATAATATGCTGGATTATGGAGCTCATGTATATAAAGTTTCAGTATATTATGTTGGAACAACAGCTGATCACGCCCAACTATGCCGTATAAAAAGAATTAAGCAGTCGTTGCAAATAAAATTCGGTTTACCAGTTCGGAGTCGAATCCCACAGATAACTAAGGCTTAGCTAAAGTTGTTCAATATCGCTCAGAAACACAAGTCCAAACAATTTTCTAATTATAAAGATTATAATATTTATTTTTATCTAATTACCTAACAAATACTAGAAAGCAATAAAACCATCAATTAACAGGACAAGAATTGGAGACAAGATTACAGATGTCTAGAGTTATGATTTTCCCTATTGTCGAATTCCTTTCCGCTACGTTATTTATAAATTTGCCTAAGTCTTCTCTACCAATCATGAGCACTCTGACCGTTGTAACTCTCTCTCGAGTAATTACCACAATTTACTAGACATATTCTCCCGAATTACGCTAGCTGACATTAAGTATGGCTCACTCGGATCGCACCAAAGGTTTCGTTATCCCAAATCCCATCTTTAAACCCTTTGTATTGATCCCTCATATACGTTAGAAGTGATGTTGTTCAACAACTACATAAATATGCACTTTCTCCCGAGTAATACACACTAAATAGGCACAGTCGATTGAGAGCTCTTCAACCAACCACAATATAAATGTAGTTGAACAAATAGAGAAAATACTACGACAAATCTATATTAACGTAATAGGAAAATCATCCTTCAAAAGGTTCCATCAAAACCCTAGATAACAAGTTAGCTATTCATAATAGTATGCATAATTACAATACTAGAATTCATAACCAATAATGAAAATAGGAAGAAGGAAGTGAAAAACTCGTAGAAGAATTCTCCGCCTTGCTCCTAGTGTGTTCTTGCCTCCTTAGGTCGAATCTCGAGTCTAATGTCGGTCTCTTTGTCCAATCTCTTGTCTGTCTCTACCGTCTGTCTAAAGTATCTCAAAAGTGACGTTTTTAGGTCTATTTATATGTGTAGAAAGACCTAAACATTTAGGCCAAGTCCTAGTCAAACCAGGAGACGAATTAAGTTTTCAAAACTCGGATTGGCTCTGGCCCCAGGCCTGGCGTTGCCAGCCTCAGCCTGGCTTTGGCTGGCCTCGCTAGGCTAAAGACTGGTTTCGCCTGGCCTTTGGCTGGACTCGCCAGCCTAAAGCCTGGTTGAGCTGGCCTTTGTCTGGCCTCTCCTTTTTACTGTTCTCGAGCACACTTTCGACGTTAAGTATCCCTTTTGCTCTACTTTCATTTCCAATTCACCGACACATAAAATAGACTCCATTACGTACAAATAAAGCGTAATTTATCATTAAAGCATGTAAAATACAAGGTAAATCATGTACGAAACTATGGAATTATAGCCACACATCAATACCCCACACTTAAACATTGCTCGTCCTCGAGCAATCGAACTACACTTATTTATTTATTTATTTATTTAAGCAAAAAGCAACTATATGAGATAAATGAATGGGTGAAGGGAAAAGATTCCCACCTAACATTTCATTTCTTCAGCTGTTATGCCATGTTGACAGTGATTTAGGTGCTCCATCTTACAATAACCCACACCAAAACCGCAATGATAACACTCAACAACATTTGATCTGGAAACTAGGACCTGTCTATGCTAATTCATCTTAGAGATCAATTCATTGATGTGATCCTCACGATTTCCTGAATCGCCGCCATCCTTGTATCGCCTCTTCTTTCCCTGCAAAGCTTTCTCTGGCTTGGTGAGAGCAAAGCGGCATAGAAAGCTAGAGAACTACACTTATAGACACAACCTTCAGCACTTTATTTTTATACAATTGAGGCACTCAACACCAATGACCATGGTTTATAGCAACAATTAAACTCTAGTATATGCAATCACATACACTTCCCTTTTCTTATGCCTTACTTCACAAATATTCATAACAAAGACAACATGCTCCTAACAATCCTAGCCTCAAAAACCAACTCAATGTCACAATGCATTCATGGCTTGAATACCCAACATCATAGAGAGAAGTCTAATAACGTTACCTATCCCTCGTGGAACCATGTGCGCTCACCACAAGAATAAGAGAGTAAGTTGAATTCACATATTCAAATCAAATGCTCAAATATATTTTAAGGACTCATATATAGGATATCGTTCACTCTCACAAAAGAAGTCACATGCATGCAATTAGTACCATAGGCTTGCTCATAATGTAAATCTCTACAAATGTAAGCTCACTCGATCTAAAATCAATTAGGACTTTTTCAAGGTTGTAATGTGGGCTAAGGAGCGGGTAGTATATATTTAGGAATAGTGATTCACCCTCCTAAGCACTTTACACATCACTTAATAATCTTTGTGCGCAAATTCCTCAATCCCCTTCAATTTCACAAACTAAATCATCCCTAACAATGTACCCTTCTTCTTTAAGCACTACTTTAATTCATACCCACTAACAAGAACAAGACAACAATTAATCTCTTTTTTCTTTTTTTTTTCCTTCAGATTTTCTCTCTTTTTTTAATTTCCGCTAGTGAGGTATTATTTTACAAAACAAGTGCACATTTCTTCCTTTCATTGGTTTTACTCGAAAGCCACCCCACACTTGCCCTTACTTCTTCTAGTGCTCATTTTACAATTAAAGTGCTTTAAGAGGTAAAAGCATCAAAAATATCAATTAAGAACAAAAAGGGTATAGGTTTGTAATGTGGGTGCCAAATAAAAGTCTATAGGCTCAAAAAGGTTAGCTAGGGACAAATTTTATTTGTGATAGCGATAATGCTCGAAAAGACATCAAAGAAAGCCTAAAAATAATTTTTCACACTGAGCTTCACCTAAACTTTCGCTTCAACTCACATACCGGGTAAGTTCTAGACACAAGTACAATACATGAACTACACAAAATCTCACCACACGTGGCACATGATTCACTAAGGACGGTCTCATTCCGATTCTCAAACTAATGCAAGTATTCATATAGCCACAAGATATTAAATATTAAGCACAAAGTGAACATAAGTCAAGAAAATGAGACGTAGGCGTCATAAAACATGCTATCCAAATAACCAAGGCATCATAAGCAACTTTAGCTCATAGGGAAGATACTACACATGCCAAAGCCTAAATATGCTACTATCAAACAAGTCAAAGGATCCTAGGAATCTCATCTTTCTTCCTCTATTTATTTCCTAATTCTAATATACTCTAAAAATAAAAAAAATAAAAGGAAAAACTACTACCCGGTTCTACCCGGTTCAAGCAGAACCCTTGAAAAAGAACCACAATACAAAAAGATCAAGGGGGAATTACTACACTACCTACCAAGAAAATCTTTTTTTAGACTTAAATCCCTCAAAGTATTGTCTAATAGATCCATCGTCGGCAAAGTCCAATAATTTTTTTAAAAAGCATTATTCAATTAAACTAACACAGCTAAAGTAGCATAGAAAGTCACTCAGACAATCTCCTCACCCCACGCTTAAAATTGTGCATTGTC